AACGAACATGCCCACGAGACGAAAGCCTCAAAAACCAGGGGCCCTAATAAGAACGTGTGACCAACTACTAACTACTAACTACTAACTACTACAACTAACTACTAACTACTACTAACTACTAACTACTACTACTACCTTGTGGACCCTATTAACTTGTACTACTTATAAGTAGGTTTTAACATGGTTTTAACATGGCTTTAACATGTTTAAGTAACTTATAAGTAGGGTTAGGGTTTGGTGAACTTATAACCTACTTGTAGCTACTTAAGGCCTAGACAAGTTAGTTAATAAGTTAACATAAGTAGGTTTGCCTAATTCTTCGAGATTTGGGTTTAAGTAGGGCAAGTAACATATTTTTACTTATTTTTACTTATATCTACTTATTTCTACTTATCCTAGTTATATTTTCCTTGCGAATTTTAATGTTTACAGTGTCTTACCAGAAGGTTTGCGTCAATTTTCTTTCGACTTCAAGATTTTTAAAAAGTCGATGTACATGTGGTTGTTTGCAGATTTATTGGTTTTTACATTGTATTTCGCAATGTGAACGAGTTTGATGATATTTTTGTACTTTTCGTGTCGGCTGCTTTGTTTATGTCGAATTTGAAGATCTATGTGGTTAGTTTGATAGGTATGGAGGTATGGAATATGTTTTCTTTTACCGATGAAGCGGAAGAGCGAAGGTGTGAAGAAGCCTGCCTCGCGCAGCGGACTGAAGCGCCCTGCTGCTCACAAGAAGTGATGAGGTCGCACCTTCGTCGCATGACACGGGAGAGTTGGAGAAAAACGATTTGTATATTTCTGTTTTGAACTTGAATTGTTCGATAGCGGTGTGCCTGCCCGCTGTACTCTGTACTTAAGTCATGGGTTGCTTAGCGGTGTGACCGCTCTTCTAGCTCAAGAGTTATATGCTATCGATTGAATATCTTTTTGCTTTTGATGTGCTATCTATGCTATCGATGTGCTATCTATGCTATCCATATGGAATATATATCTATGGAATATCTATGCTATCTATGGAATATCTTTGCTATCTATGGAATATTTATGCTATCGACAAAATATTTTATAAATTCCATACTCACGAACCTTTGTGCTATCTATGGAATATTTATGCTATCTATGGTATATCTATGCTATCGATATAATATCTATAGAATATCTATAGAATATCTAGTGAACATCTTTCGAATATATACGTTGATTTCCCACCAGGCTGCTTTTCTGGTGTGGAAGATTTGCTGGACAATGTCATTGAGATGGTTTCCTAACGCACCAAAACTCGACAGACGCCGACAGAAAAGTGCTGTGTCGAGATACTGTACAGTAGATGTAAACCGTATATACGAGTATATCAGTATATCACTTTGGTGTTTCAGCGGTGTGCCCGCTAATGATAGGTATATTGTACGACGCAATATTTACCCAGGCTTTTGAACAGCCCGATTAGTTGTTGCTGAGCGGTATGCCCGCTATGTTGTCTATGTAGGTAAAGCAGAGTATAAATCTCTATCTATATACATATATATTCTTTTTAACAGAAATATTTCCACACAGTCACGTTGATTGCTGTTCAGCGGTGTGCCAGCTCGATATAAGCAAACACTGTTGAAAAAAACATTGAAAAACAAGATTTTAAAATAAATGCAAATCAATCAAAAGTGAACAGTCTTGAGCAACTTAGTGCCATCATCCCTTCCAAACAGGCTCTTTGTCAAAAATCACTTTGAAAAACAAAAGAACAAGGTTTACAGCACGACCTACTTATTTCTACTTATTTCTATTTATCAGTTACTTATACGTTACTTATATCTACTTATGTTATGATTGCATTTTAATTTACGAACAAGTTAACATAAGTAGACCGTAACTAGGTTAAGTTACTTTAAGTAAATTTAAGTAGTACAAGTTAATAGGGTCCACAAGGTACTACTACTACTACTACGACTACCACTACGACTACGACGACGACGACGACGACTACTACTACTACTACCACGACTACTACCAGGCCTACTACTACCACTACTACTACTACTACGACGACGACTACTACTACTATTATTACTTCTACCACTACTACTACTCTTACTACTACTCTTACTACTACCACTACTACTACTACTACTGCTACTACTACTACTACTACTAGTACATGGCCGGCCGATCCAGGTGCCAGCTGGCCGGCCGGCCGTGGAAGAAACTACTACTACTACTACTACTACTACTACTACGACTACGACTACCACCACTACTTCTACCACTGCTACTACTACTGCTACTACTACCACTACT